GCTGCATGGGAAGGCTGCATGGGAAGGCTGCATGGGAAGGCTGCATGGGAAGGCTGCATGGGAAGGCGTGCGTCCCCTTCGGTTACGTAAGGGAGCTGAAGGGCTCCAGTGCACGAATTTAAGGGCAGCGCATAACTGGCAAAAACCTTAAGGTGGCTCCTACTGGGAAATGATTTATGGCCAGCTTGGACCTTGCATAGGCGAAGCCTAGAAATAACCTGCTTGGGCAAGATTTATGGGAGACCTGGACCCTGACTGATTCAAAGGGCAAACCTTTTTGTGGAGCGACTCTATTTTGAAAACAGATTTTTGGAAAGGGAGTTGGTACAGGTGTGGGGGTTTCTTGTGTCCTGTTTTTTTTTTCTGAACTACTGGCTTGTCACACATTTTAAAGAAATATCTAAAAACTTATTTGTTAAAGTATTTGTAAATTTAATATGTAAATATAATATGTAAATTAAAGACTTACATATTGTAAATCTTTGCTTTTTAGTGCTTTTAGTTGGTGAAGAGGCAATCAACACTGTTCTATGCCAATTTATGGATTGAAATACCACTACTTACTAGTGCTGTCTGTTTCTAAACTTCTTATTGTCAGTGATGAATGTGGAAACTTAATCTTGTCTAATTTTTTTGCTCATTTTTCAGAAACTCTGTACTGAGATATTTAAGCTGTTTTAAAAATATCTCTGTTAAAGAAAGGTAAAACTAAATGATGGCTTTTGAACTATTGTTAATTCTACAGCTGTGCTTTACTTTCCTTGTTTTTCAGTTATGCATGTACCCGTTTGAACTCAGAGTTCCTGCATATAACATCCAGCAACAGAAGCTGGTGGGTTTTGTCTCTGGCAAATCAGCTAAATTGTAAAATACTCAGATATTTGCATGCTAATAGGGTTCAAAATCTGCAGGTTTGCTCATGACATTGTAGAGTTGTGTATTAATTTATCAGGGTTCATTATGTGATTGTTGATGTCATTTGAAAATCTGGCTATTTAACATCAGGTATACAAACTTTTGGAAGCACCGAGGTTTTAGGCTTTTTCAGAATATATGAGTGTAATACGGTTATTTATAATATAGTGTGAAGGTCTAAATCTTTAGATTCTGTTGAAGGAGATGTTTGAAGGTTAAGATCTCTCTCCATTAGTTTTGTGTTGAAATCTGTAAATGCTCATTTCAAATAGACTTTAATTATATGTTAGAAGCTATTAAGTGAAGATGAGTTAGCGTATGTTACAAAATGGAAATCAAAATGTTGCTGTATTAGGTTTAGAAAACTATGTCTGCTTGCCAAGAACCAACAAAAAAAGGGGTAACGGAGGGGAAAAAATCTAGTTTTCTCATATTTAACAAACTACAGCATTTGACTCGCAGCTGCAAGTGTGGTGTAATGCCTTTTTCTTTCTCTCTCTCTGCCTGCCCACCCTTCTCTTTTTTTTTTCTTTTCTTCTTTTTTGCTTTTAACTGACAGATGCGGCACTCCAAACGAACTCATTGTCCTGAATGGGACGACAGGAAGAGCTGGGATCAGAGAAGGAACAGCAGCAGCCATAAGCGCAGGAGAAGGTCCCACAGCAGTGGACAAGAAAGCAAGCACTATAAACCACCTCACTTTTCAGAAAGGTATAAGACTCTGAATTGAGTAGCACTAATACTTCTGATTATGTTTAAAATAAATATATTTTCAAAAGAACAGCTTTTATGTGTGTAAAGTTGGTGATTCCTTAAGGTTTGGCTCACTTAGGTTACGTTGAAATGACACTTGGCTTTGTTGACATAGTATGTAAACCATTAAATTGAAATGCTTCAGTAGAAACTGTAAATGTTGACACTGCTTTCGGTTGTATACATTCGATATTAAATTTCAAGTAAAATAAGCATTTTCACATATTTTTCTTAAATTGAAGAGGAAGAGAAGGCTTGTTTAATCATTTACTACAATGGTAAGTATGAAGTTGATTTGTCTTATTAATTTGGAGATGGTGTGCTTTTTCTCCCACTGCTTTCACTGGAAGGATGTATTTTGCTATGTTTTTCCCTCAAGAAAAGGATCCTGTGGAATTCTTTTAAGAGTTGATATTCATGGTTATAAAATGCTGGACAGGGTAGGTGTACAGCAGTATGGAGGCTTTTTGCCTCTGCAGTTTTCTTAAGGTGTTTTTTCCCCCTTTGGGTAAAAGATCCTTGATCCAGACACTGTCTCTGTTTTTTACTGTATTGAATGCAGAGCACTAAGAATAATGTTAACTACTCTCAGACCATCCAGATGTAGTTGTTGTAGGTTTTTGGTTTGTTTATTTAATTTTTTTTGTGCCCTTTGGAAGCACTGAAGGGCATTATTGCCCATTGAGAGCACTTTATCCTGTGATTTTAGAAATGCTGACTTTAGTATGTTCTGAGAATTACTACTGCTTTTTGAGTCTGAATTTCTCTGTTGTGCAAACTGTGGATGGATTATGTATTGTTATGGCTATACATTATGGCTGTGTATTTGAGACTGACAATCTCATTAACTTCCTAATAAAGTAAGGTGAAAAGCTCCTCTTCTTTTGGGGAGGGAGTTGATTACAAACATTCTTGATGTAAAGACAGATGCTAAGTAACTCAACTCAAGTCACTTATCTTGTTGGAACCTCAAGTTTTTAAAGTGGAGAACATTCACTTAAAATATATTTGCAGTCATTATTTGGACGATAGAGCCATAAATGAGAGAGACCATCATGACCGGAGATATGTTGAGGAATACAGAAATGACTTCTGTGAAGTGTATGACCACAGGCATTATCACAGAGATTATGAAAAGAGTCACCATCATCACTATAGCAAATCCTCTGGTCGGAGCAGGAAAAGTAGTCATAAAAGGAAGCATAAGAGACATCATTGCTCCAGTCACCAATCACATTCGGTATGAGTAATTTTTAACTTTATTATTGATGAAATATTGGTAATAGACTTCTTAAGTGAGTGTTAGAACTTGAAGTCCTAATCACAGTACTGTTGGGAAATCTGTTAGTTTAGTAAAGGAGTTGTAGTTGGATCCATTTGGGAGCATATGATTTTGTTCTTAGTTGACACTATGGATCAGTGTTGGGGGGTTTATCATCAGTACTAGTTGCAACCTAGGAATGTTGGTGTCCAGTAATTATGTCACTGGCATCCTCCTGAAAATATGTTTGGAAAACGAAGACAGGTGACTTACCACTTCAGTTTTACGGAATAGCAGAGTGTCTGTTTTTCAGATAGACTGTGAGATGCCATCTGTCTCATTAATTAAAAAAAAAAAAAAAAGTCATGTCCCTTCTTAATGTATACTTCATTGGCAGTATGAAACGTGCATATCTGTAAATTGCGAAGAGCAAGCTGCACGGTATATTTGTATACGTGATTCCAGCGTTCAAGGCATGTGCCTCACTAATGGCGTCTAATGTCTTGCTGAAGATGGCATAAGCTTGCTGCCCACACGCTATCTGAGCCTTTTAGTATTGGCTTCATGCCCCCTGATACATCTTCAACTCCTGGTGTTTTATGTCACCCTTTTTGCAATAGAAACAGAATGTTAGATTAGATTATACATTGCAGCCCAAGGACTTTAGAGTAATATTTCTTGTATAGTTTCTCTAAACATGAGGAAGATAAAATTGCTTGAAGTTCTTTATATTTATTTGACAAAATGTATATATTTAAGAAATACAAGCATTTCACCTGACTGTAAACTTAGAAATATAAATAAATATTGTGTTTTGCTATTTGATAGCAAAGTATTAGAAGTAGTGACCTTGCAGTCTTAAACTGTCTTCAATTAAGCCACTGTTTGAGAGACAAAATTGTGTTGTTTTTTTTCTGTTGCCTTATCACTTTAAGTATTTATCTGAAAATCTGTTCCTTGCCATGTTTTTCTTCTGTAACATAAACTGTGCCCTGTGAATTTCTGGGGACTGAATTTGAAATTGCTCCTGCCAACTGTTCGTGGCCTGGTGCGTAACTGAATGCCTGAATATCTCCCCGCTGAATGAATTGCGTATTCTGCCCTGAATTCACTCTGATATATTGATTGGCTGGACGATCTTGGTGCCGATTCCAGAAGAGTCACCGAAGGAAAAGATCCAGGAGTGTAGAGGATGATGAGGAGGGTCACCTGATCTGTGAAAGTGGAGACGTTCTAAGAGCAAGATGTATAGAACATTTTTCAACACTTTTTAAAAACTTTCAGCAAAAAATCTGTTTAGACTAGTATGTCAGAGGAGGGGGGCTAAAGAAATCTTCATTGCTCTTTTTGTTCTGTTTTTTTGTGCTTTTTTATTTTGTTTTGTTTCTTTTTCTTTTTTTTTGCATATCTTCTTTTCTGTAGAATTTAAGTACTGTGTTCAAAAAGTTCCAAGTAGTAAATGAACTTGAGTCTTGAGATTAGAACAAGAGATAGCTTTGTAGCTAACTGTTTTCATGACACCTGTCCAATAAAATAACACATTCAAATGCTGAGATTTTAAGTAATTATGTTTTTGTAATGGCACATTTTAAAATCTACATTAATATTGCTTATTCTTGTCTGAGTAGTTACGTAATTCTGACTTGTGTTTGTTCTTTTTAGATGAAATTGTTGCGACTTTAGGAGAAGGAGCTTTTGGAAAAGTAGTGGAGTGCATAGATCATGATATGTAAGTATCAGTTAACTTTTTAAGTGCACATCATGAAAAATGCACTTTATTTAGCTGAAAAAGTCCAAAGAATTTGATAGTAAGTTGGGGTCAAGTGAGTTATTAAAACATATTTAAGGCAGAACATCATTTTAAATATGAGCTGCCTTGCAAGCCTGTTTCCAGATGAGCATTTTTAAGGAGTTTCAGATAACACACCTATTTGTGTGACTTGCTTTTTTAAGATTCCTCAGTCATATCACTAAAAATTATAAGTATCTTTTTATTTTTCTGTTGCTCTGTGAAAGACCCTCACAAACTACTGACTTGGAAGCAAGATGCAATCTAGAAAAATATTTTTACCTTGTTTTTTTCTCTGAGGTTTTTAAGAATCTGTCCTTAATGGAGTAAACTTCCTCCAGTCCATTTGTTTTGGGGAAACATATGACTAAAGAGTTTCTTTCAAAAATAACCATCTATAAGCTTTTTTTCTTCTACACATGCTGTATAGCCCTTCCAATACTGTTTCTGTAATGAGAGAACTTGAAGGTATGTAAAGAATACAGAATTGAATTAATAGACTGACTTATAGAAGATGACACAATATGATACTCAGAAAATAATCTTGGTTCTTCGTTAAAGCAGCTGTTGGAACTTGGGGGAACTATAAATTTCTTCACTTAAGTCTCCATAATCAGACTTACCCTTGCACCCTTTTCTGAATACACAGTAATCCAGTTAGATTTTTTTGATGGCATGGAGACTTTAATGTGATGGCGTGTTTAATGAAGGTGAGAAAAAATGAACTTATTTCCACCACATCTGTGTATGCTAGGACACTTAAACACTGAAGCTGCACAGATTAAAGTCATTTTAGCCATCTGTTTGGTATATCTAGTTCTGTGACATGGCTCTAGTTTTTTTTCCCCTCTGCCTTGAGTTTATTCGTTTTGTCTTTCTGTTAGTTAGGTCTGTTCTTGAGATGATGTCCTGAAGGCAGATGTGATTCTTAAGTCATTAGGATCTAAACAGTTTTGCGGTGACAAATTTTACTTGTCCACAAATGAATGTGAAACTGTGATGAATTTCAAGTTTCATTTTCTTGTACTTACAGTTCGTTAATTTTCACTATATTGAAATTCTCAAACTCTAAACTTCTGAAATTGTTTCCACTGATTCTGTTGAATAAAGATGATGCAGAACATAAATTGCAGAAAAGTTGTCAAATTTTTGAACTTCTGATGTTTATTCTTTCTTAGATAGGATAAGATTATTTAATGGATAGTTAAGACAGAATATATGATATATATATTCAATCTTAACCAGAATTAAAAAAAAAAAAATAATACTGACCTTTCCTTTTGGATGGGATTAAGTCAAATTCCTTAAATAAAACTTGTAGTTCTCTACTATCTTGTTTTTATTTGATCCTTTTATTAAAATCAGGGTATTGTATCAAATACTGTAATATTTGATATTATCAGATATTTGATGAGAAGATGATCTGGTCTGTGGTGTTTTGTTTCCTTCTGTCTTAAAGGAGAGGAATGCATGTAGCAGTTAAAATTGTGAAAAATGTTGGTAGATACCGGGAAGCAGCCCGTTCAGAAATACAGGTACTGGAACACTTGAACACCATGGATCCAGGCAGCACTTTGTAAGTATAAAAGTAGAACAGTCAACATGCTAGGGTTTTGGCAAAAGATGATTATTCAGCATGTTGCATTTTCATGTATTCACTTATACTGTTCTTATTTTTAAGCCGCTGTGTCCAGATGCTGGAATGGTTTGATCATCATGGCCATGTTTGCATTGTTTTTGAGCTGCTGGGACTTAGTACTTACGATTTTATTAAGGAAAACAGCTTTCTACCATTTCATATTAATGACATTAGAAATATGGCTTATCAGATTTGCCAGTCTATAAATTGTAAGTAAATCTCAATGCTTATATCAAGTATATTCCTTTACTTTTTATATTAAAGAAAAATGACTCATTTATGGATTTCTTTCTCCCCTGTAGTTTTACACCATAATAAACTAACTCATACAGATTTAAAACCTGAAAATATCTTGTTTGTGGAGTCTGATTACATAGTGAAGTACAATGCTAAGATGGTGAGTTTGTACTTTTCTTTCCTACTCTCTTTGGAATTTTTTTGTCTGCGTTTGAACTTTAAAAACTTGCCATGCGTGAAAGGTCAAGTGATAAATGGGTTTATTTTTTGTAGATCCTTTGTGCTTTTTGAGATGCACTAGATTTCTGCTAAGCTGGTAATGTTGCTCTGAGTCAAGCTAAATGTTTAATCTGATAATAGCAAGGGCCTTTGTTTAATGAAATTCAGTGTTGTTAGGGGACTTCGTGTTAACAGTTTTAAATTTAGCTAGCTTTTTCTTGCTGTGTGTTTCTGTGCTTCTTGAAGAAGCTCTTTCAATCCCTTTCTTAAAAGCATCTTTTTGTTTTGAGAAGGGTATCAGATCTTGTTTCATATCCAGTTGCCCTGTTTCTAAAGAAGCCTGAAGTACCTGTCAGTTTGGCGGTTCTTGGCTGGGTTGCCATGACAAGTGTCCTGCTGCATTTTCGGTTTATCACAGATATGTAGTGTTGATAGGTGGGCAGTGTTATAATTGGCACGGGTCCACGACAGGAATGTTCTTGGGCAGCATCTTCCTTTTAAATCAAAGGAAAACCTAAAACACAAGGGTCTTAGCATGACTGTATCAGCTGGTATTCTGAAAATACTTCAAATTGCCAGTGTGATGAATAGCATTTACCCAAGCGTTGCATTTAAAAAGAGTAACCAAAAAACATTTGTATTCTCTTACAGAAGCGGGATGAACGTACATTAAAAAACACAGATATCAAAGTTGTAGATTTTGGAAGTGCAACTTTTGATGATGAACATCACAGCACATTAGTGTCTACAAGGCACTATAGAGCTCCTGAGGTAATTTTAGGTGAGTAAAGACTTTGAAGATTTTTGACAGCTAATTACAAGTCATTCAAATGTATCATTTCATAAAGTGAAGTAATTGCTCATGATTTTAAAATCTCCATTACTGTCCCTCGCAGATGTTGTTAAACATCTTGAGTGTAAACAAACTTTCCCTTTTTTTAAAAATGGAAGTTCAAATGTAATCCTTTATGTTTTTCAAGTTTTGTGGAGCGATGGTCAGAGAAAAAGCACATATCAGTAAATGGATGAAAATGTAGCATTTTCTTTGTGGATTACTTGTGTTTGTATTAAAACATACACTTTGCATGTTTTGCAGCACTGGGATGGTCGCAACCTTGTGATGTTTGGAGTATTGGTTGTATTCTAATTGAGTATTACTTGGGATTTACTGTGTTTCAGGTATGTGCAGAAATTGAACCTTTTTGTTCAAGACTGACTTTTTATCTTTTTAATGGCCTCTACTTAACTGTTAATGCAAAAGACCTAACTTTAGAGGGCTTTATTATATAGAATGGGCTGCAAACAGCATTAATATATAAGAATGTGGTATCTTAAAACTGCTAAATATCATCCACTGTAGCCTTCTGAACAAGGCAGTCTGCCCAGAGGTTGAAGATGCTGCTCAGATTAGAATAAAATATGTATGTGTAAAACTGGGTTCACAATCTGTGTTTTGCAAAAGCCATGTTAACTGTGGAAAGTAGCATAACAAGCTGCATTGTGTTGTCTATTTTTAATCATTTATTGTAATAACATATAGTGACACTGATGCTCAGAAGAACATCTCACTTGTAGATTGACTTGTTTCCAAGTGGCTGAGAGCAGAGGAATGTGAAAATGTACTCCTTTTTTTCCCCTCTGCAGACACATGATAGTAAAGAACACTTGGCAATGATGGAAAGGATTCTAGGGCCTCTGCCATCTCACATGATCAAGAAATCCAGGTAAGTCCATTATAGGAAGAGGAGGTTGCCTCATATTTCCTATTATAAAAGAATGATTAAAGTTTCTGTTGTTCATTGTGAGCTGCCAGAAATAGACAAATGGGCTTCTGGGTTTTGCAGTTACTTGTTAGTCTCTTGCCATAAGTTATATTCACATGTGGCTGAAGTAAATAACCAAGAAGAGTCTTTAGTCTCTTTTTCTAGTTTACCAGTAGCTAAAACTCAGTTTTCTGAACAATAGCTGACTGTGAACATGCCCACATAAAGCTGAGCCTGTGTGGTCATCGGAAGGGCACTAGGTACCTTGTGTTCCTTAAACTGTAGGGATAAACAACCTGTAGGAGGATTTGTAGTGAGAGGAAGGAGAGAGTGCCTTGCTCCTGCTCGTGCAGCTCCCAGGCTCTTCCATCATTCTGATGTATCCCCCACACGTGGGCTGCAGTGATCTCTCTTATTCAAAGATAATACACGCAGCAAAAGTTTCCCATTTCCCATGCAGGAGAAGCAGTCGGCACAGGACTCTTCCCTAATTCCCAAATGCTCCAAAGCCGGAGAATGCCAGACTTTAATGGTCCATTTTCTTTCTCAAGTTGTATTGTTGCCAACTAATCTAGGTAATCCTGTAACTCAAGATAGAGTAAAGCATAAATTCCCCTAATTCTGGATTGGGTAATGCATTTAGAGTTGGCCACAGTTAACCAAAGCAGGTCCTTAATGCTTTTAGATAGCTGCACTTGAAATAAGATGAGTGTTGAAAAACACCACTTACGTAGCAGAGCTAATGTGGTGCCAGTTAATGTGGGTTTGTTAGAACTTCAATTGCACTGATATTTTCATATATTTGCCTTCTAAAACACATTTGAGAGTATCTGTTTTTTATTCATTTTCCCCAGGTGCAGATCATTTTCAAAAAAACTCTGCAGATTTTATAAATATTTTAAATGACAGTAGTCTGACGTCTTTTGTTCCTTGTAGATGAGACCAAGTTGTTCCCTTGGAACACGTTTGTAAAGAACCCATTTTTTAAAGTCTTTAATTAAAAACATATTTTAAATGGCTTATTTGTTGGAGTACAGAAGGACCTGTTCTGTCAGTGCGGTGAGAATGGTAATAAAGCTGTAGGTTTCTCTGAGAGTTACCAATAGAGAAGCTAATCTTCCACCCAGAGAGCCTACTTACTCACCAGCCTTCGATTACTGAAACTATAATTTTTTTCTTGTCATGCAGAAAGCACTATTTTCATCACGACCAGTTGGACTGGGATGAGCACAGTTCTGCAGGTCGATATGTTAGGAGACGCTGTAAGCCTTTAAAGGTAGGAGAGAGCATTTTCATTATTATTATCAGTTACATTTGTAGCTTTGAAAGATGCCTCTAAATTACTACTGTTTTTTTTTTTTTCTTGCCTCCCCAGGAATTCATGCATTGCCAAGACAGAGATCATCAAAGTCTCTTTGACCTTGTTCGCAGAATGTTGGAGTATGACCCAGCCAAAAGAATTACTCTTGATGAAGCCTTGCAGCACCCTTTCTTTGAACCATTAAAGAAGTAAACTGAGAGATCTCTTATGCTTCTCCAAGGAGATTACCTAGACTGCGTCAGTCAACAGAGATTGCATGAAACTTTTGTAAACTTTAAATTATTTTGTACAGTTAAGTCTGTAAATATTTACAAATGTTTTGTATAACTGTCACGTTTATCTTGTTGAACAGTTGTAGTCTTAATCATGGATATCGAGGTGAAAAATAAAAGTAATTTTCATTTTTGACATTTGTTTTCTTTTTTTTAAAAACTGCACCTTCTATTTATGCAGAGGGGGCTAGTGAGGCATCAAACTTTAGATGACAGATCTAACTGTGACAGAAAATGTGACACTTGCCACCTTTCCCTTCAGCAGTGACCAGGGACGAAGAGAGGACAGGAGTTGCTGTGCTTTCTGCTCCACATCTTCAGAGGCAAAGCGTGGACTCAGTATAAGCAATGCAAACCAAATGGAAACAAACCAACAAACAAGTTATATATTGTTATCCCTGTAAAACTGTAACCACAAAACATCTTTATCAAAATCAGAAAGTAAATTGTGCATTTCTGCTAAAGTCATTTTAATCTTTGTTAATGCAGTTACCAGAATACTTTGCACCTGCTGAAAATGGATGTATGCTGAAAAAGGAAATACGTGACTGTGTGTATTTTTAATTTCAGGGTTTCCTTTTTCACCCTGTAAATTTAAAAAATGCACTCGAGCAGAGCAGCTGCAGCGAGGTGCCCAGGGGCATTTCAGGCCCAACACCCTGGGCAAGAGCAGGTGAGGCTGGAGGAAAAGGGGGCCTGAGTGAAGGGGCCCGGAGCTGTTGGTGGCTCAGGTGCCATCCGGTCCGTCTCTGCTGGGATTTCTCAGGTTCCCTGGGCTGCCCTCCATGCATTTAGCCTTGGTAGGATAAAGTTTTTTACATGCAAACACTCCATTACCTTGATAAGTGGACACAGCTGGGGTAGTTTGTAATAGTGGCATATCTCGATGAAGCTCTGTACTAGCAGCACCTGTTAGTAAATAGATCTATTTGCATGTTTTGCTGCACTTCTGAATTTTAACTTGTACCCTAAACAAAATGCAGTCTGGAAATCTGAATAGTTTTACCAGGCAGCCCAAGACTGCTTGCACACCAGGTGAGTTGCACATTTTACTAGGCACAGCTGATGGGAGAAAATATAGTCGCCTTTAAAGTGAACAAAACAGCTTTTGTCCTGAAAAGGGCAAACAGGGTATGAGATACGGAGCTTCAGCTGGGAAGCAGAGGAGTTGAGCTCAGGGTTAAACTAAACAGAAGAGGGGCTGGGGGTCTGTGCCAAAGGCCTGAGGAACAAGAGCAGTAAGAAGCCCTTTCTCCTTGTCCCCTTTCCAGCTCTCTCCGCTACGGGAAGGGCTCAGGTCGCAGAGACGCAGCTTGGCCGAGACGCTCCGTACCCTGGAAGCTCCCTGGGATTGATTGCTCCGAGCTACTCAGATAAGTCTCAGGCTGCAGGGAAGCAGAAGGGAGGGAGGGATTGCTCGCAGGAGGGAGTTGCTCGCAGTCATCTCCCCTTTTCCTTCCTTGCATCTTCAGGCAGCAGAAGGAGAGGAGTTAAAAGCTGCCTTTGCATGACCAGAGGGCTAAGGCACCTCCAGAAAGCAGCATACATGGCTGGCTCAGGTACACGCTCCTCTCCAGCCCAGCTTTTAGATGCTCACACCCTCCTAGCAGTTTTCTCCAGCCCCTGTGAGCGTTTTTGCAACCCTGGCCTCGGTTTCACCCCCCTCACCTAGAAGCAGCTCCCAGGATGGCAGAGGTGGTGGCCAAGAGGCAAAGGGCAGCGCTGGAGGTACGGGTGTGTGCCCGGAGTCTGGACAGGCATTAAAATATCCGAGGATGTTTATGGGTGAGTTAAGAGGTGGTCTG